TTATATCGACATCTCTAAAGTACAATTCTATGTGATTTCTAGGGAGAACAATACAACCGATCCACACCTTCGTCAGGCAAAACGTTTATCTCGTGACCGTGGCTACGTTCGGCGACCAGTTGTCACCTCGAACCCACTTTCGCTTTCACAAATATCAAACAATTACAAATGACAATTGCTTAATTACAGCTATGATAAAATCTAGGCTAAAGCATTAGAAGGCTTCCTCAAAATTGCAAAGGGAAGGCTCCGGTTTTCCTTTCATCTCCGACATATAAATAAAAGACATCGAATGGACTGAACAAAGACACGAAAGAATTTAAAGAAAACAACAACTTATTGTCCAAATTATCCCGACCAACTTCAGCTTTGTATACAATGCTTTAAATTTGTTGAGTTCTAAATAATTTTCTTAATAAACCATTCTCGTATTACGGGTGATGCGGCTCGATCAGAAACTTTGCTGTCATCCGAATATCGATGTCGCTTATTTGACTTGCGAACGATCGTTGTAGGTGTTTGAAAAGCTATTCCAGAGGAAATAATAAAACTATTGAATTGTTACGAAAGTAATACGAAAATGGTTTATTAAAAAAATTATTTAGAACGTAAAACTTTAAAGCATTCTATACACAGCTGAGGTTGGCTGGGACAATTTGGACAATAAGTTGTTTTTTTCAAATTCTTTCGTGCCTTTGTTCGGTCTATTCGATGTCTTTTATTTGCATAACATAGTTTGCATGCGTGTCTAATGCTTCTTCCGAAATCATTTTTCCGAACGACGATATTATGCTGACTCCATCGAAGGCAAGGATTTTTTGTATTTTCAAACAACCCTAATAATTTTGCAACTAATAATCGTCTAAATATTCTAATATTTATATTTTTCCCTGTTGTAATTTTGTAAACCGTCAAAGCGTTTACAACAGAAATTCCCAGAAGTAGTTGAATGCCAAGTTTTCAGTATCATTTGATTCCTTTTCTAATTGTGATGGCATAAGAAACCATTTGGTCGGAATAACCTATACCACACTTTCCTTCATTATATTCAACAACAGCTAGTAATTTTAATATTGCGAACAAACGAAACGGGAGATCATTCTTGAGACCACCACTTGAGCGACTCGCATTGCTAAAATATCGATGGGATCACCCAGCAGAGAACGCTTGGTAGTGCAGGACGGGTGGCCTGACGGAGATTTCATCAAGAACACGCGTGGTAGTCAACGTGTTAAAGGAAGTATTCTAGTGTAGAACACGTTTTCGAAGAGAAGCGTTTTTGTTATAAGAGACGTTCTTCTTTCTTTCCTTTGAAGCATCGTTTAATATCATGTGCAACTACTAAAGGAATTTTTACGCTTGTGTTATTAAACATAATATATCATATTTGGAGATTTGGAACGCTACTGTTAGATGTTAAGCGTTTGTCAACCATCGATCAGCAATCCTCAACATAGTCGGTTATAACTAGCCAAAACTTTGAAAAATTGTTAGTCTTACTTGTGTCGTATAAATGTATATTGGACTAATTGTTATCAACTTGCAAGTGCACTTAGTATTTTTATAAAAATAATGAGTTATTCACTGGCCGTTAATTCTGAGTTTGAAGCGAGCATCCACAGAAAGTTTCTTCCAACGTAGAAAATTACTTTGCTCACAACGCAGAACATTCTTCGTAGAAGTTTCTTCTTTTCTTTACGTCATTAAACTATCGGCATTGAAGAAAATTCGACCAACCAATCCGAATCCTACTTGTATAACCCATTACATACTTTCATTCCAAGATTGTTTAAATTTATTATCGCTAAAACTACTCAATCTCGGCCACAATTATATTGTATTTTTCGTAGTTACTTAAAAGATCCAAGTGTTTTGTATCATTATATTATTATATATTATTATTAATGTTATTATTGAGACATAAACACCGTCAATGTAAAGAGGAGTTCTCTGGATCGGAAAAATATTTAAATCCAGTTAATTAATTTCCTGCAACCAAGATCTAACTAAGATATTCAAAAATCCGAGTGTTTCCTCTTTGTAATAAATAAAATCTTTGAAAAGTGTTACGAAAAGCTGAAGAAATGGGATAATACACTTTATGATTGTCGAGCAACGTATCACGGTTGCAAAGATTAATTTAATCCCGCGGGATCGCTCAACCATCATTGGGATAAAAGTTGCTGGCTCTTGAAATAAAAAGCAAGTCGTCCGATCCATTTTTCTCGTTCCACTCGAGCGACCAATATTTTAAGCACCATCGAAATTTCGTTTCAGAAACAACAAATCAGGAAACTTTCTACGATCAGGCGGCGTTCATTTATCCCACAAGTTCAAATCAAATTTATTCTACAGGCTCTTCGGCTATACGTTGCTAGTATTTGTGCGACGAATATAGAAAAAACCGCACTTATACTTCCTTAATTAATCGAATGCTTCGGGACCGTGGCGTATCAAGTAGAATTAACTAGATTTCATAAATTGGTTTTCGAAGGGGATTAAAGTTATCGAAGCATAAAGCGAAGTGAATTTTCCTTCGATGTTTCCACTCCGATATATCTTTTTCCCATCGAACAATCACATTATGTAAAATAACTTACACGCGGTTGAAAGGACTTGAAAAAAATGCGATAGAATAATAAAATGTACATGGATAAAATAAATATCGGTCGTTGTAAAATTATCTCACGACGATGCACTGTTGAAATTATCTGATAGAGGAACGCGTGGATGAATTTGTAATAAAAAAATATATTTAAATATAAATACAAGTATAGTGTATGTTGATCCAGATCCTCACTCTCTCAATGTTACATTACAATAGAATATGATAGGGAGCACGTTGATACATTTATAGCAAAGAACATTACCAAACGATCAAGCTTGGTGAGTAACTCTAGCTGAAGGTTACAAGAAACAGCAATAAACATCTGCTTATAGCTCTTTTGTTTCTAGATCTTGCAGCTCAAAAACAACATTCGTATTCAAGGACACAATATGGACTTCTCCCTTTTTCTGATTTCTTTTTTCTTTTTTTTTTTTGTCTTTTTGCTTCACTGAATTCTATTTTCTTTTTACCGGCGGTGTCCAGGTCACAGGTATACAAAAGAAAAGGATGTAGTGCTTTCCTTGAAGTAATTGCTTCAACACACACCAATCACGATTTAATATTATTCATCACGCTATTTCGCGCGTTATAGTAGTCGAGTATTGTGGTATAATAACGACGCATCTCGTGCAGCGGAATTTCGCAAAGGTGCGCATATATAAATTTGTAAGGAATGGAAGATTTAAAGGAGCGAAGTTCCTCTTAAATCCAACTTGAGTTTTCCTTAACAGAATTCTTGGCAGTAACCCCAAGTTCCCTAAAATATTGAAAGCGAAACTACTTCTATCGCGCGATATTTCAAGTCTCGACGCTGAAACTATCTTTCATATACTTTACATAAGCTCTCAGTTCTGAGCAATTCTAGATAGCTTGCAACTCATTTACTGGCGCACTTAAAAACTTCAAAGCGTATAGACTTAACCCGCACAATTTCACTAACAAAGAGATCCTTAAACTTCTTTTCTATCTATTGGGTTGGCAACTAAGTGATTGCGGATTGTGTCGTTAAGTGGTAATGATAAAATCCGCAATCACTTAGTTGCCAACCCACCAATACAACCTACGCACGAAACGCAGCCTTACGCATCTACTTGTTGTTACGATTCGTACGCTTATTGTTAAGTTATAGTGTACGAATTTAACATTAGGTTTACGGGTGTTTCTTATATACCTATCACTACGAGCACCCGTAAAATTGACGGGCTAGCTGATTTCATAAACAATCCGTTTTTCAAAGACAGTGTGCAAAAGTTTCAGTTATTGTAGACATTTCCCATTATTCTCTCCGCTTATTGTAAGTATTTACAATAGGGTAACTGCATTTCAGCACAGTATTTTCTTATTTTGTCCAATTTCCCTTTTTTAGCAATCATGAGCAAATCCAGGAGACATAATAAGATATTGAACAAAATTGTCAACATCAATGAAGATTTTTCTGAGGATACCTCCGAAGAAGATCAGTATGATAGACATAGATAGATAGCGATAGCTATGTGGAGGATTGATCTTTTCGGATATCACGAAATAATATAGACAAACTGTTTTTGTGAGCAATTTGTTAAATATATATTTTGTGTGTGGAAATTAATTCAACACAAAGCACAAGTCCAGGTATGATAAATCTCACGAAATAAATACGCGTTATCTCGAGAAACTCCGTATATACTTCTTATGCGTCTGAATGCTTCTGCTGCGATCGATGAACTTTATGCTCGTCATTTCGTCTGTTTATTTATACTGGTCGGGGGACAGTCATGATACTCCGAAACAAAACAACAACAGGATTTGAATTGTCCTGCTCGCGTGCCGCTATAGGTATACTACATACAGGTTTTACAAATTAGAAAGCCTAGGAAAAAATAATTGTGTGTTAAATTCTTTGGGTGAAATGATTAATTTACGATGCAAAATGGTTAAAATTAATCCTATGGTTTTGGGGGTATTTCATTTCAGTTTTAAATCTGTCAAATTGACGGGTCCTGTAATCCTAGTGTTAAAAAGATAGTGGAGCATGTCGAAACTGCAGAAAGTGACGAAGCTATAAACAAGAAGACGCGCTAATCAACAATGGTTTATTAGTTTTCATTCTGGAAATATCTCGCTGGAAAATAAACAACAATTAAATAGCCGAACGTTTATAAATGAGAATTAAATCAAATGGGCTAGCGATGAATTCCTAGACTCCATGGAGCAACAATTGTCCGCGAGAGATGTTAATCGATTGAGCTTCTGATTTCTGTATTATTAGACCTGTTACGTGAAAATAAAATTTTTACTTGTCTATTCAAAATAGAAGATAGCTTTAACAAGCACGAGAAGCATAATTACGAGTATAGTCGTAATGTATAAAATCAACAGAATAAGTAACATCATAGCAATCGATATTTCTAAAATGTTCAAGAATAGACACAGTAGCCGGCTCGCGAAACAATTTTACGTTTAAGTGCAGGAACTTTTTAAGAACTTGTTGTGCGAAACATTTGGAAATTTCGTTAGCGTCATAACGGAAGACAATTATTCCGATGACATTGGAAAAATTTGAAACCAGAATGGTTCCAAAAATGTACACAAATATTACGAAAAATTTATTGCAAACTTACACTCAGTAAAAAATTAGTATGTAACATAAACAGTGGTCTCAAACATACAATTAACGATAGAGATGGTTTCAGAAAATACTATACGTAGCCGGCAAAACTTCTACAGTCACTTAACAGTCTAAGAAAGATTGGCAGTGAAAAACAGAGGTTTCTTGCCACTACTGGAAGCTGATTTGCGGATGCTGAAGGAAGCAGCGGGTCTGCATGTTAATCATCCGGAAAACAAATCCGAAGATCGAAGTTGGCCGTCGAGGTGAAACGATAGACAAGAAAATCGAAGGCCGACAGCGAGACGATTTTCAGAAGCGGATAATTTGAGGCACAGAGCGCGTCAGGTGCATATGCGCCGGTAAAGACGTTACGACTTCCGACGGCGCGTATCCACGACAGCGAGCTAGAAGAGAACGTTTTCAACGAAACGTATGGACTCCGTGTTTCTTCTTTCTCTTTCTGATCAAGGCAACGTTCAGCCAACGAGTGTAGCTTTCGCACAGGCTGCAGCTCGCGGAGAGACGCGAAAATCGATGCCGGCAGCTTGCGAAAGGAAGGAAAGAGAGAGAGAGAGAGAGAGAAACGAAGAGAAGAGACGAACTGCTCCTCCACGTCGTCTCTCTTCCGTATGGTATCACGACCCCTACCCATCTACCTGTCCGCTGCAACAGAGGCTAAAGCACGCCAGCACAGTCCACCGAAAATCTCAAAGCGGTAACTTCGTTTGAGGTCTCGCCTCGACAAGGTCGCTGAATAGTCCGTGTCATAAGCCTATTATAGTGTTTTAATTGCATCCATTAGCGGTCCCTGCCTTCTGCTATATATTCTTCAACCCTGCACTTCCTCTTTCTTCCTCGTCAGCTCGCTTCTCCTTTCGTGCTCCAGGCAACAGACACAGAAGATACGTCGACCCGATGGTCGGCTTTAAAGGCACTGTTAACTTTAATACTTTCTGTCGCCAGCGACAGCTTTGGGAATTTCGATTCGACGCTAACGGTGATCGATTTTAATTCGATCTCATCCTTTCTTTTACTTTTGAGGCTGCGTCAATCCACACGGCAGACTGCGGGCAACAATACTTTGACTTTGGAAAACTTCTTGTACGAAAATGTTACTTATCTGACGTTATCGGGTCACAAGAGTCTCGCTGTATGTCAAGTAATGATCACGTTATTGAAAAAGAAATGAGAAAAAGAACAAGTGTTACAACCGTCCCTGACACCGAATTGGCTGTAACATTGCGTGGGGGCGGATAGACACTCGTTTTAAACAATTTTCCAGAGTCAAATATTTATCGATTTAAGTTATGACATTAAGTTAAAACAAAAGGAAAGATTGTAAGCAATTATTGGGAATCGCGATTGTGACAAATATAAGAAACATCTTGATCGGTACACTTTTCACGTGCCTAATCCTTACACTTAACACATCGCAAGCATTTTTCGTTTGGTTTCCTCGTGTTATGGAATCCCTGCACACCTGACAATAGCATTCTTCTTTACCTTCTTCGTCGCTAGATTCATTATTCCCTTTTGTATATCTGTTACGGCCAATTCTGACTACGCTTCGAATTTAAATTATAGATTTTGACTAACGAGACGCCTGAGACTGCCAAGTAGCGATCGCCATTGCTTGAAAAGAAGCCAGATTGAAGGTTAAAAAATAGAAAAGGCAACTACTTGCAGAGCAAATATTTGTATTACAATTTAAAGACAGTAAGAAAAAGTTACTTTAGTGTATAGAAAAGTTATTGTCTTCGCTATATACATGTTTATTGCGTATCTGTATTGTCTAACATGGACGGGTATATTCCAAATTCGTGATGAATTCATTTTTCACGTATATTCAATACAAATGTTGACATCTATTACACGTTGTGAGATATTTCATCACCATATGTGTCACATTAGTTAGCCTCACAAAAGGCGATGTACATATACATATGTACAATAAATTAACACTAGAACTATTGATAGTTAACACGAAGTTATTTCTACCAAAACCAGTCAAAATGACTGGTCTTTAAAAAATACGTAATAATAGAATATTTTTATATTTATTGATTTATTACTTTCTCACAAAAGGAATTCAATGTCATGTAGTTATTATGTCAATGTCATTTTTGGTATTATTAATCCCTAAACGAGAGTTGACAAATTTATAAAATTGTAGAACCAGTCATTTTTACTGGTGTGGTATTTCTAATGTTAGTATTTAGCGATCAATCTGGAATTTTCTTGATAACTGATACCATCATATCGAATGATACGCAGTAAAAATTTTAAAAACGTGTGAGAAGTTGTACAAAACGAGGAAACTGGTTAATCGTGGTTCGATAAACATATTGCAGGACTCTTTTACACTTTAACAAGTACTAGTCATTTTGACTGGTATTGGTATGAGTAGCTTTGATACAAAATTATTTTGAGTTTGAATACATTAAAAACAAAATAAAATTCATCATATTATTGTTTTAGTTATCGTTACGAAAGTCATTACATCATTGCGGAAAGAAAATATAACATGGATTAGGAATTTTAAAACAAAATTGTCAAACCAGTCAATTTGTCTGGTGTGGTAGTTCTAGTGTTAAATAAAAATTTCTCACGATACTTACGTAAAAAATAGAACAGTTAGATTTCACGTTACATATACATAAATTATAAATTAATGCGCTGACAGAGTTTAAGATGTTTGTATCGTTTATAACATCGTTGTATATGGCACTTGTTAATATTTATCAGATCCATTAATTTTTCCTTATCAAGTTTCTAAAACGACGATTACATGTGGCACTATTAATATAGTGTAGCACTGCTAATAACTTTAGCAATGTACTAAACTATAGTGAAAACCATATAGTTTGCATTCATAAATTGTCCTTAATCTATAACTTTCGGACTGTAGAACCAGGTCGCGATACCGATAGCGCAATATATAGACTGATTATCGATATATGGGCCAATTTGACCGTGCCTAACTCTTAATAGAGATCTAAAACAAACATGATATCGAATCCATAATTGCAACATATTAAACGCAAACAATCGTTGGCCAAACGAATATATTACGTATCATGTATTACACTATGCTTGACAGAGAGGAATTGTGATAAGTTATTGCGATATCACTAGATATAAGTGATAATTAATCACAAGTGATAAATTAATAAGCGTTAATTAATTTATATTTATTTATTTATTTATTCGATAAGAGTAATTAGTAGAATATATTACCTTTATTATTCGTAACAGAAATATATTATACTGATAAATAAATATATCAGTTTCATAATTGTGACGAAAATAAATTACCAAAGTATACTTATATATAAAGTTTAGTAAACGAATTTTTCAAGAAAATAAACAGTACAAAATACATATCATATACATATGGTTCGTTAATTTATTTCAGCAGAAATATGTCCATATATATTGTTAAATCAATATATCAATGTTGAAACTGTAAAGAGAATAAATTTCTAAAATGTATATGCAGTTCGATAAATTAACCGTTGGAATAAATTTTATTTCAATGGAAAAACAATCGTTCTACATAGATCTTAAAATTAATCCTGTCGATATAAAACATGAAAGCTCGTTTTCACTTTTGACGGATATTTTTTACACCTGTGTTTCTTCCATTTCCAAGCATAAAGATGATCAATTTTTCACAGTCAGTCGAAAAACTATCGTAAATGCTGTAAATCGACTACGAAGACAAATAATCTGTCGACTATAGCAAATCCTATCCGAGCATTCTTCGAGCATATGAAGCTATCCTCGTGAATAAAAGTTCGTGCCAATGGCTGCATATTACCATCGTTGGAAACGTAAGTTAAAAAAATGTCACGTACAGGGTAAACGATGGTGTTG